AGGGAAAGAAGTTTTCAGTTCTTCCTCTGGGCCCAGGCTAGGGTGGTAGAGGAGTTTGGCACTGGAAGCTCCTTCAGTAAGGTCTGAAAGCTGGGGCATTTGGGGGCACGGAGAGTAACTGACTCACACAACCACACTAGATCTGGCATCCTACAGCAAGACTTACAACTTTTCTGTTTTTGTTTTACTGCTATATTACGAACATTTCCTAAGAACATTATTCTAGACTGAGCCAGAATCTCTAGTACTGAAACTGAGCTCAATTCTGATGAATCCGTAAGGTCGATAAAATGAAGTATTTCCAAGATTTTTGATGACATGTCTCCTCTCTCCTTCCATTTCAAATGTCAGATCCCTTAGATCCTCTTACTTAGATGACACGGGCAAGGCTGAGAGCTTTGTGGGACAGGAAGATGTACCTGAGAGGTAATACACACCCAGGGTAGTGCCTGGTGATTACGCAGACACAACCAGTTTCTCTCTTCCTCGAGTAAGAATATCCTGTCTCTTCACTGCAACAGCCGTCCAAACACCTCTAAGAACGACTCCCTTCCTCTGAAGCACATGACTGACCATACTACAGAAAAGGGGAAACAAGCTTAACCGGGAAAACCGCACGGCTGCCTCTAGAGGGCAAAGGAGGCTCATTTTAACTACCGCTTCCCGGCCAGCTGACTCAGCGACGATTCGATGATTCGCAGCAGCGTGACAATACAGCTTTGCATCTCGTCCCGGCAGGCCAGGAGTCACTGGTTTAGAGGACTCCGCGGCAGCTGGATTTGAATATAATCCTTTTCCTTGGTATTATAACAACTCGGGTCTAGAGGCTGTCAGACATAGCACTCTGTTCCAGTCAAATGCTTGGCTCTGTCGGACTAACCAAGCCAAGGAGAATGAGAGGAGTTTAATTACGACAGAAATCTTTATTAAAATGTGTCCTTCAGGAATATGTTAGCATACATACAATATACACACATACATATGTACACTCTTTGACACACCTCACAGATCGCCACCAGCAGTTTAACCAATAAATTAAAACTAAAAAACAGGAAGAAGGGAAGGGGGACTAAGGGCAAAACTGTCATGTTTTATCTGGTAAGAAATTGCAAATTTCTCAGAATTTCCCTGGGGAAAACCTGTGACCAGAGAATCTTTGAAAATAAAATACATAAATCCTCCCACCCCCCCAAAAAAAGGATTCCAAAAGATGCAGTTACAACAAGTGTGCTTCTCGGACAGGAGCATCCACTCCACTTCATACTCTGGCTTCTGCACCTTCTGGCTTCAAGACAGTCTGACCCTCGGCTGGGGCAGAGAGGTTCCTATGGGCACTTGGGCTCGGTGCACCTTGGGCTCTGGGGGTCGCGGGGCAGGCTGCGGTGTGGGAGCGGGGGGAGCCACACTCATCTGAGGTGATGTCTGGCACGTCGTCTGACTGAGTGTCAGAGCTCTCCAGGTCACTGCGGATGCTCTCGGGCTGGGCCAGGCTGATGTCCCAGGGTTTGCTGGCCAGGCAGTCTTTCTGCTCATAGCTTTGGTGTCTGCACGGGGGGCCGTCTTCTCCGCCGCCTGCAGCACCACCTCCCTCTTCACTCTCCGCCATCTGAGCGTGAGCATGGAGCGAGTCCTCCGTGCTGCTCCCACTCACCAGCTGATAGTGGCTTGGTTTGGCTTCAATGTCCACTTGGATTTCCATATTGGTGCACTCTCTGTGGAGACAAAATCCACCCTGCTGAGTCATATACAGATCGTGTCATACTTGTTGGTAAAAGGAGCCCCTGGATTCAGGGTTAGGAAGTTCAAAAAGACAGGTGGAGATAAAATTTAAATCTAATGCTCAGATAAAATGAATAATTAGATGCTGTCTGCTGATTTAATGTAACACACCTACATTTCCCTCAGCCAATCTCTTTAAACAGTTCAAAAGAGCTTCTGAAATTTGAGGTCAGGGCTTCATAGTATCTTACTACAAATATGAAGATGAAAGATGATGATTTGTACGATAGCTTTTAACTACTGAGTGACAATTCGATGTCAGAGTCCCTTCAGTAAGGAGCACCACAACCACATCACAGCAGGTACACCAGCTTCTCAAAATGAAAGAGAAACAGGCCATGGAAACCACGCCAGAGGGAGAGCAGAAACTCTGGACTCAGACATCAGTGAACACCAGCCTGGCTCTTTAAGTTTCACATAATGACACACTGTTGCAATAGCCCAAACCAGAGACAGAGAGAGAGAGAGAGAGAGAGAGAGCGCAAGAACACACAAGAAACAAAAATAAGGAAAAAAAAAAAAAACTCTAAAAGGAAAAGGAAGAGAAATCTCTAAAAATCCAGTACCAACAAGGAGAAGCAAGATGCCCAACACTCCTGCACTGAGAACTTGCTCAGTGGAGCATCCCCCTAGATGGCACACTGGGCCCTGACATGAGGCACTGCGCTTCCAAGCTCTAACACCCGGGTCGAGCACGCAGCTCCCTGGGCGTGACTGCCCACGTACCTGTCCTGCGGGTTGTAGGAGCTGATGATGGAACCGGCCATGGCGCGAGTGCTTGCGCTGTCACTAATTGCACCAAGACTGGCTGTGTCTTTGGGGAAAATTTCCTTTTGGACATCGGCTTGGACTTCTAACCTGTGTAAAGAGGGGACGTTCACATTAATAAGCGACTAAGAGACCTGGGTATTCTGGGCCATCTGCTTCCTGGCACACGTCTGCTCCATCACCCTCACACACCTGCAGATCTGCCTCATCTCCAGCTATCAAACAGGTCGAGCAGATGCCCGCATGTTTTCTCTCACAAATATCTATAGAAACCGTCCCCTCCTTTCTGTCCCCACTGTGGCTGCATAACTTTGGGCTCTCAGCGTCTCCTGCCTGGATAATTACAACTGGGCCTCTGCTTCAGTACCCTCTAAGTCTAAGCCGAACAACCTCCAGACCAGCGCATTGTGGACCAAGGCCTAATCACACTATTAATTCTCTAACTCTTGGCTCTCTCCTGCAAGTGGCATTTAACTTATCCTGGCCTGCAAGTAGGCTCTCTCCAGCTCCATCTCCCATTATCAGCTTTTTCTTTCCTTAGTTATTCATATTATACCTCCATGACTTTGCACATGCTGGTCCCTCTCTCGGGAAGTTTCCTTCCTGTATCTGACAAGCCTACTTAGTACTTAAAGACAAAAGAAATAGGGATGGGCGGGTGGCAGGGAGGTTAAGGCACTGAACTCCCACGTGGCTGACCATGGTTTTAGCCCTGGACCTGACCACTTGAAAATCACACCAGGCACATGTGCAAGCATGCCCAAAATCCTAAGAAGAAAATGGAGAAATAGGGATTGTGTTGTGGCCATCCCCCCTGAGAGGGAGTGATTTTTCACTTTCCTTCTCTTTGTCTCTCTCTGGAGAGCACATACACCCTATGGAAAAAAAAAAGGAAACATAATTTAATTCTTACAGCAAACTGGTCATTTCCAGCTAAGCACTCTCTGCTACCTGTTTATTACCTCAATGTATACATCTCTGTCCTCCTCTCTGAGCTCGCAGGAGAGACCACATCTCGTGCACACTTGGCCTTCGGAGCCTCGCACATAACAGGAACCTGAACACTCAGTAACAGAACTGCCTCCAGGTGCCGAGACCAGAGGACCTGTAGGAGTCAAGCTCCTCCTCATACAGCAGCAAACTCCCAGCGATGTCCCAGAGCTGAAAACCCTAACTATTTCCTGTCTTGGCGCCAACACCGTTTTGTTGCATACTTAAGTATTTCCTCATAAAGGGTTTCACAGTCAAACCCATCTGACTCATCCACTTCCTATAAAAGAAAGGCTTTCACAGAATGGGAACAGCTGGACTGGCTAAGCTGCCATTTCAGCAAGTCCGTCTCCAATTAAGTCTGTCTGCTTATTTACAGGGGTGTAGGTTTTAAGAAAGCATGGCTGTGACTACTCCCGCATGCGGGGGTGGGATTCCCTAACAAGAGACAGGTGGGTCCGTAGCAGGCTCCATCCTGCTGCCATGCCTAGATGCCAGAGGACGTGCCATGGCCTAGGTAAATGAGGGAGCGGAGTGGAAAGTGCACCAAGTCAGAGACCTGGGTTCTGGTCAGCTGTGCCGCAGAATCACTCTCAGAGCTGGAAGACCCTTTCACAAAGGCCCCCTACTTAGGTGGTCCTCAGATGCTGGGTCATCCAACAGCTATGCTGAATGACTCTGGGAGTTTTTCAAAACACAGGCTACCCCGCAGGTCCCATTCCAGGAGATTCTAAGTTATTAATTCTACTTTAAAAAGGCTCCCAGGTGGCTGAGAGGCAGGCAGTTGTAAGATCCAGTCTACCTGCCATCTGCTGCTTGAATCCTTCTAATAATCAAAGAGCCAACTGGTCTCACTTCAAACACTGCCAGGGATATTCAGGTAGCCCCATCCTTCTTCCCTACATTCTCTATACGGAACCAAAATTAGTTTCCCTCTAGCTTCTGCCCAGTCATCTTAATCTAGCTCTTGGCATGAATCATAGAAATCTAACCCTTTCTCCAGCTGCAGGTCCTTCAGATGTCTGAAGACAACTCTCTCCTCTACCTCCCTGTGCTGCTTTGCTCCACTCTTAACTCTCCCTAGACCTCTCTTCTCTAGTGCATTCAAGTAAACCATTTCTAATGGAACATCTGCTTTGCTCCTTTGTATACATTCTGGTCTGCCTAACTGGTGAAATGACCAATCAAGTCATAAATCTTTTTTTATGGAGAGGTTTTTGCTTTAGGACACATGTGCTCGCCAGAAAGAGAGAGACAGAGAGAAAGCGAGAAGTCACCCCCCGGGGGACGGGCACGCCACAATCCCTTTTCCTCCATTCTCCTCTTGGGATGTTGGGCATGCATGCACACATGCCTGGCGTGAGTTTAAGCCACAGGGTCTGGGACTTGAACCGCGGTCGACCACATGGAAGTCCAGTGACATAGCCATTCTGCCAACTGCTGGTCCCTCAAGTCATAATCTTTTTAGTCATACAGCTTTATGTAGTCTCCTCACAGGTTCACAGACGATTTTCCTTATATATCAAATGGGACGAGGAAGGCAATAAGGACCACGCTACCAACAGGACACACCATGAGTGTAGTTGAACCACAAACCAGAGACAAGCCTAATGGAGGGCACAGCCTTGGGAGTGCTATGAAAATGCCTGCTCTCCCTTCCTGAAGTATGCAGCCTGAAACAGGAAACAAGATCTGGGGTCAAGACTATCCTTTTAGAGCCAGCCAGTGGTGTGACGGTTAAGGTGGCTGGATCCCATATGGCTAGCTGCACAGTTTGAGTCCTGGACCTGGGGGCTTGAAAATCAGACCCAGTGCACGTACGTGCATATCCAAAATCCTGAAAGAAGAAATGGAGAAGGGATTTTGATATGACCATCCCCTGTGGGGTGCTTTCTTACTTTCCCTCCCCATCTCTCTCCTGTGAGCACACATGTCCTCTGGCAAAATTTAAACAAAGAAAAAAAAGATTATTCTTTTATTTATTTATTTTTTATGCCAGAGGGAGAGCGAGAATCCCCAGAGGGGCTGTTCACGCTGCAGTCCACATCCCATCAGGATCCTGGGCACACATGCATTTCTAGCACTTATTCAAGCTGCCAGCACCAGGACTCAAACCCACGCCAGCCATGTGGGATCTGGCTTCCTCCATGTAGCATTCGATCACAGCACTACGGGCCAGCCCGAGAGTATTTTTCTCTTTTCTTTTTTTGAGATTTTTACTATAGGGCGCATGTGCTCACTGAAGAGACAGAGATAGACAGTGAGATAGAAAGCAAGAAATCATCCCATCCGGGAGATGGCCATGCTGTAATCACTTCTCCATTCTTCTCTTAGGATTTTGAGCACACACGCCCAACATTTAAGCTGCCGGATCCAGGACTCAAACCACAGACGACAAAGTGACAGTCCAACAATGTAACCATTACGCCATCTGCTGGTCCCCCAAGATTATTCTTTATGTGGAGTAGAAAGAGCACTGAACTTTCCATAACCTTTCTAAGCCTGTTTCTTATTTGGGGGAAATGATTAAATCAAAATGAGATGATATATGAGACAAGCCAGGCACAGAGAAATGGCTTAATATATTACTTTTAATTTCAACTGCTTCTGTCAGAAAGGATTTATTTGATTACCTGCTGTATTTTCCCTTGCCACTGGACAGAATGCCACCGCTCAGTGTGCCCCCCGAGAGGGCTGCGAAGCTGGCCGTCTCGCTGTACGGGCCTTGCATAACGCTGAGTCCGTCGGTAGGGCTTCCGCTGGTGCTTAGTACACTAGTCAGGCCTTCGATGCTGCTCTCCCCGATGCTGGGGTTCTTGAGGGCTCGCCAGGCATCTGCCACTGGGGATGGAACCACACAGCTCAATTCAAGATTGCACAGCATCAAATAGTCTGGTAGGCATTTTCCTGCAATGACTCTTTAGAATGGAGAATTTTCATGTAGAAAAGTACAAAGGCAAACACTTCATAACAGCAACTAGGTACAGCCCCCACACATCAGGTTTCAGCATGTGTTCACAGTTAATCCTCCCAATAACTAAGCAGTAATTTTAGATTTTTAAGCTGAATGACTTGTCTAAGGTCATGGTTAGTCAGACAAAACCACAATTGTGATTCCAAGTCTACTATCCTTTCCAGTACATTGTAACTGCCATTTAATCAAACACGAAGATTTAAAAATATGTTAGGTATTGTACTGATTCTGGTGAAAGCTTCTAGTAGGATGCCTAGAAAACCTTTGTGGGGGCCGGCTAGGTGGCGTGGAGGTCAAGACACTGGATTCCACATGGCCGACTCCACAGTCTGAGTCCCAGACCCAGCAGCTTAAAAAACACATGAGGAGCATATGCGTGTGAGCCCCAAATCCTGAGAGCAGAGTGGAGGAAAGAAGAATGTGCCGTGGCCCTGCTTAAAGAACTTCCCATTTACATTGAGATAATAATAGCCCCTGCCCTTCCTCTTCTGAGAACTGTTGTAAAAAGCAAGTGAGATAATCACTGTGGAAAGTCCTCTGAAAATTATAAAGTATTGTGCAAGTGTAAGCCTTTATTTTATAATCACTACGACTACTAGCATTCTTTTTTTTTTTTTTCCGGTGCTCTAC